CCCCCCCCACCCCCACACCCACACACACACACTTTTTGCTTCAGGCATCTGGTAGCTTAAACCTACCGGCCGGGCCTATCCAGACTCGCACTGGTATGCCACTAAGGGGAGGGGAGTGAAAAGCGCTCCAAATCAACAATGTCTCCATTCCCCGGGCTCGAGCTCGAATCTGAGACATCTGGTTAAGGGTAGAGATCCTAACCATCACACCATAACCCATTGTGAGAGATGTGTGAGAATGGCGTGTTTAAAAGTTTGGCTACCTCAAAGGAGCAAGTATTTTCAAGTTCTAAAGAATGACATGTTTAAAAGTTTAGATCTAACATTTAGTTGTTAATTACAGCTTAACTACTGAATTTTGTTTTTACCTTTTTGATGTAATTTTTATAGTTCCAACTACCTGTATTCCAGTTTGTTAACCTCATATATTCATTTATACATGAACTATCACCATAACTGAAATTCCAGTTTTCCTTGATTAATAAGAATTTAATATCTGACCAAAATTTTTCATGGTTTATTACTTTTATGGCTGATATCTCAAACCATGATTTTAATTAGGCATGATGGCGGATGTTACTTCAGCATTGGCAGCCGTAGGCATCAGCATATGTTCTTGTTCGGTGAGTTGAACATTTATCACATTATTTTCCATCTACTTTATAAAAGAAATCACATTATTTTTCATCTAGGTTTCTAACTCCTGAGCTATGCATATTGATCATTGGAATTATAATAGGGTTTGAGTGGACAACGAAGCTGTTAGCAGTTGGTGTCTAAACTAAGTTTGCGTTTATGAAAGTGTTCACTATTTGTTATACTTATATGCTTTATAGCTGAACCTGGAACTGCTCCATTGTAGTGGTTCAGCATGAATCAGACATCTTTATTAGCTATCTCAATTAGGCATTTCGTGATGAAGTAAGTGACACTGTTGGCTTTTTGATTTTTCCTATGTCAGCAGCAGAGGCAGATCTAGGATTTTAAGATAATGGGTGCTCTATTGTGAAGAGGTAGATCTAGAATTTATATTTGACGGGTTTAACTTTAGTCTTTTACCATGAACCCACTATACTTTTGAAATTATAGGTTCAAAATTATATTCTTTTTGAATTTTTAGTGATTTTCACATATATATCTATACTCCGTGCCAAAAATAAGACCGTCCAAAGTGGGATTTGAACCGTCAATTTCACTTGTAGAGGTGCATCCAATAATTATTACACCATAAGAGCCTTTAAGCATGGGTGCGCGCGAGCGCGCACACACAATGTTATATATATATATATATATATATATATATATATATATATATATATATATATATATATTTATTTATTTATTTATAAGTAATTTAACGAAATATAACATTGTTATACATGGTTTAAGGAAAGGGGTATGGGTTAACGTTAACCCATACCCCTTAAGGTAGATACACCCCTGGTCAGCAGGAGCTAACAATCGAACTCTGTTAAACGAGGAATTTGCAAGTTTAAGCTAGTTAATTAGATCCATCGCTTACATCTTGGTGCAGTGAGAGAGCATACATAGCTTTTCTCGATATGCTGATGGCGAAGTAAGAAGAAACAATGTAACACCTGGAGTGATTGAAAACCTTTTGGGAGGGCATTTAGCATTGGAACAGGCTATGGCCTCATAAGTAGGAAACAGGCGGGATAGGATTCAGATTTACAGAGCATGTAAGGACAGTATCTGATCATTCATTGTGAAAGTGGTGGACGAAGAGAAATTTGTGCTGAACTATTATGAGGGAAAGGACTAAAACAATTCTCAGCTACTTTTATGCTGAGCAACTTATATATTTATTTCCATTCTTTCCATTGCATTCTTCTATTATGTTTGGGAGCCTTTTGAATCTGCATTCCGAAAAATGCATGAAGCTCTCAACAACTAAATAGTCATATTCTCCTTCCGTTTCAATTATTTTAAACTTTTTAATCATGAGGTGACCGAATTTTACTTTAAAAACTGCAGGTTGAGACGGATAGAGGGAAGGGAATGGCTGTTGAGCTATTTCACATTGAAGCGAGCCTCGAGAGTTTGGTATGCTTGCTGAACATACGTCAATATAACAGATTTCTCTTCATGTGCCATTTTATGAATACTCAGCTCCTGCAGGTTGATGCATGTGCAAGGATCGATATGATCCTAGGTGTTTTAGGATGGTCCACGGGTTGCAGCTGGTCAGAGAACAAACAGTTTCTAGAATGCTAGTTTGCCTGATGAAGTGTACTTGCCCAGCTGTTGAAAGCTTGGGAAAAAAGTTTTGTCCTCTAAAACCAGAATTCCCTTTTTCTCATTTCTGGGTGTTTTTCTCTTAGTTGTCTTAAAAATATTTCCCCTCCCACCCTCTTGACAATTATAGAAGCAAACAATATTAGGCAATATGGTGTCAGGCGACTGTGTATATAAAGGAAGAGTAGTGACGAGTTATACTTGTAAAGGCATTTTGAACTATACGAACCCCAGCAAAATGATAGATATTCTATACAAAATGTATTCAGTATTTCCGATCTTATCCTTTTTTTGGGGATCTATTTCTTATATGCGATTATATGGGTTTGACGCTATCCCACTGACCACCTTTTCTGCGCAGAGGCTGATCTAAGATTTTCTTAACGGGTTCAGGCTGTTGTCACTAGACCTACTGCTTCCTTAAAATTATAGGTGTAGAATGTAATATTCATTCTTCTTTTAACAGCTTGTTTGGATTGTTGTTACGTGTCTTTTCATAATGTATTGTATTGTATTGTATTGTATTGTACTACATTGTATTGTAATGTTTGAAGAATACATCGTTTGGGTAGATTGTATTGTTTGACGTCGTTTCATGATGTCATGCACCAACGATATGAAGAATAAACTTACAATATTACAACAAAATAATTGTTTAATAATAAGGAAGGGCAAGATGAGAGAAAAAAGCAAGGAAACGACCATAAGTAAACGACGCAGTTAATGTTTTCGCATATAAGTTTGTTTTGGCATATAAGACTATGGACTGATGCCAAAAGAGTGGATAAAATAGAACGAGGATCAACTATCACAAAACAACAATGCGATATAAATTCTGAATCTGGTTTCGCCAACAAATAAAAACTGAAGTACATGCTTAAAAATACCCTTCTCCAGCAAGGCTTTAAAGCTCATATTCCTTTGATGGGTATGTTAAGCGTGAGGTTAAAACAAAAGACCAAGTCAAAGGAACAAACGAGTCCCCGTAACGCGGACTTCCTATGGTTCGATATCCTGCATTTTGATATCCAGGGAATTCTTTTCGGCTAGAAAAAATAAGTGCAGCCAAGTCTTGAGGCTTAAATTATTACCCGAAGCAACAAATGTGCTCTTCTTTATTCTGAACTAGCTCATGGTTGAAGATAGCAATAAACTATTTATACAACTATCAATAATGAGTTCTTTCCAGTGATCACAAAATCCGATACAGCCCGGATAGGCACACCAATGGGCAACTGCGCGAACCTGGTTGAACCATTACTTGGAGAAATCTTGTACTCCACAGGGCCATACTTCGTAACGTGTACTCCATTTTGCTTTCTTTTTCTTTGTTAATCCTTTTTCTCCACTCGAAGGGTAGCATCAAATCTACATCGCAGCAGGTGGATATGCACCATTCCTTTTCGGGATCCAACTATTAAACTATACATATATTTATTTATTCAATTTTGGTCTGACACTTATTATCTTAGTAAGTTCAGTAGTATATTGCGTTCCCTGATCTAAAATCTTGAATCGGTTAATGTAGGAAGGGAGAATGCTTGTAAGCACAAGTACCAGATTAGCGCTAGTAGTCCTCCCAAAAGCACTCTACTTCCCCTGGTGATTCATGAGCTTCATTCGGTACCTTTCAGTAGGGGTGCCAAATGGGCGGGTTGGGCTGAATTTGGGCGGGTCAAGATGGGTTAGTTCAATAAATGGGTCATTGTCCAACCCAGCCCAAAGTGTACTTGGGCTAAGATGGGCTGGGTCAAGATGGGCTAAACAATGCCAAAATTTCACGGTATAGCCAGTTTTCGGACTGGTCAATCAAAAATAGCCAGCGCAAGTCAATGAAAAATAGCCACCGTTTTGCTGCAATAGAGACTGGTCCAGCATAATATACTGGAGTTCGGTGCACTTGTGTATGAACTCCAGGATATTATGCTGGACCGGTATACTCTGCTGGCTCCAGTATAATATAGTGGAGACTGGAGCACTGGTGCTCCAAACTCCAGTATATTATACTGGACCATTATACTTGCTGGAACTCCAGTATATTATGCTGGAGTTCTAGTGTATTTATGCTGGAACTCCATCATATTATGCTGGAGTTCCAGCATACTATCCTGGAACTCCAGTATAATATGCTGGAGTTCAAGTATACTTATGCTGGAACTCCAGCATAATATACTGGAGTATTTTCCGGATTTTGAACAGTGTTTTCGCTCAGATTTATCTTTACGTAAAAAGTGGCTAAATTTCGATTACTTTTGAAATTGGGCTTTTTGAACGACCAGTTGTAAATCTGGCTATTTTTAAAAATCACCCCTAAACAATGGGTCATAACCCAACCGCCCAACTTGACCTATGTTTTAGAACCATGCTCATCTTGCATAAAAAAAAGCCTTTTACCTTAAAATGTGTAAGTAATTTTGGGGGTGAGGGTAAGGGTGGGGTAGGGTGAAGGGGGGGGGGTTTGGACGGGTG